CTACTTATCATGAGCTTAACCTGAACCGATTCTGAAGTATACCGGATGGGAAAATGATAATTGAAAATTTGCTACGAAATGCGATACAAGGATTTTGAAATATTGGTGATTTTCAAAAGCGTTCCGTGAGCTTCAAATTAAATGAAATGGTCCCGTTTTACACTTCATCCATACCTCTCTCCTTCCTATGCAAATTTTTTAAAATTGATTTGAACTTGTTTTCTTTTGCGCTTTTCACGAGCAAAGTTCATTTACCTTTTATCGGGGCATTGATTTCGTCCAATTTACGGCTACCGGCGCTCGTTTCAGTTTTCATGAATTTTCTAGGATAAAGAAGCAATTCTGAAAAAAAAAACCTTACCACGTTTCTATGTTCACTATAAGGTGTCTCTGGGATAAATATGAAGATTTTCAATTTTTCGACCATGTGCCACATTTTTCGATTTTCACTCGGTCAATTTACAAATTAAAGCCGCTCTTAATTTGCTTCTCACACTGATTAGAAGAATCCTACGATTGGAGTTCAATTTTTGAGTTTTTATGCCTTTATGCGATGGATTACGCAGAACTTGATGACATAGTAGCTCTAAGTCCCCAGTGCTGTTTAAAAACAAGCCGGGGGTTATTAGCTCACCAATCAGAAGCAAGGGTGCAATTTGTGTCCAAGTATCGGATGAGGAGTTCGAGTAGTGTTCTCCTCATAAACTCAGAGCCGATTGTGAAGAGGCAGATAAAATTTTATAAGCATGAGGGATTACGCCATAATCTTGATCGGGAAGCGTTGGATAAGTAATAGTAAATGATCTCGAATTCTCTGGAGAAAGAATATCATAACATTTTCGGAAAACATTTTAAACGATACGTATTTTCAAGAAGTGGTTTACTTTATTCAGTCTTGTTTGACTGAAGATTTAAGGCTGAATGAAAGCGATATCCTAATTTCGGACCTAACGCTACACAATGATTTGTTGTTCAGTAAAGGTTGTGAATGTGCAGCCGACTGAGCTTAAATAACACACAAAGCACATGCTCGCTCAAGATTTTTTGAAGGAAAAAGTTTGTAGTTTATTTGAAATCATTTGTATTGAGTTTAAACACGGCCATCTCGCTTAGTTTACTAATTTTGAAAGTCGATCATCGGGAAAGGTTGCATCATTTTGTGTTTCTATGTAGGTTTTTTAGAATATTTGCTCTTGTGAGCCTGAAAATCAAATTGACATCAACTTTTCAAAATTTGAGAGTTATAAATCTTGGGGAAAAACTGTTCATATTTACCACGGAAGTGGGTTGTTCGCATCCTTGCTCGCTAAAGAATGAATGAGTTACTTGTTGAGTGTTGATTGAATCTCCGCTGGCTTTCTCTAATTAATTTAAAGAGCACTTTTATGTTAAAGTTAAATAGTTGGCTGCAAGTAAGTTGAGTAGCTCTGCTCTGAACTGCGTACGGATTGACGTACCTGTTAAATTGCTTAAACTTGCAGAGCGAACACAGTACTTCAAACAACGATTATATGCATTTGCATTCCTTTTCTGAATATAATTGTGGTCAGATTTCCAAACTGTGGTCGAATTTGGTCTAAAAACTGCAATTTCACAACGTACTAGTATCGATCGCGATAAAAGGTTTCACTCAATAAATAATCACGGAAGACAGACAGCTCCATAATGAGAATTAAATTGTGATTGGCTGGTCTAGTGCTTTAAACAGGAAAAACCCAGCTCTTCGAGACTTAATCATAATCCCTTCTAGTTTGAACTTAATAGGTTTTGTTCTACATCAATCTTATTTATAAGCTGATCAAAACTTTCGGCACAGAAAAAACTTTAAGTTGATCATTCAAATTTTGGAAAAACTTTTAGCAAGAAAGGCTTGCATTGAGAAAGAAAACAAAATCTTTACAGGATTCAAGTATATCGCTGGTTTTTGCTTTCATCTTGTTTTCAGTCATAAATTGTACCTTTAAGACTTATTTTAAATCAGTTTGATTCTTGAATATTGGAGAGAATTAAAAATGAACGCGAACTCGACCGCCTGCCAAGCTCGATATAAACCATCTGGTGGAAAAGGTCCTAGAGTATAACGAGCAAAGGGCCATCGCCCGAAAACGAATCAAACCGTAACAATAGGCAAGGTTTGTATGACAGAGCTGGCTAGCTTAGTATACCTAATTTTTTTTCATTTATTAGTAATAGGTATTACTGACCGTCAAACTGTTCTTTGTAACTTCAGTTAGATTAACTTGAAATTCATTTGAATTTTCCTTCTTTTTAAATCAGTGAACTCTGTATTGAGTTTGTTTCAATTGCATGCGTGCGTGCATTTATAAAAAAATGTGCAGGCTTTTGTTCAAACTTTCAGTGTTAGCTCTAGTGTGCAACCGCAGTTCGTCTCTATTTTGTTTACGTTTGTGTGCAAGATCAAAAGAGAATCATACACTCCCAACTGAATAATTGAGGACACCGTATCTTTTTACACAGAACTCTGGACTTTAACAAACTGGAGACTCTTCCAAGCGATCTGTTCAAGCGCTTCAAGTTAATTGACCTGTAAGTTATTCGTTCTGAAGCTTAATATAGTTGACTGCCGCTGACTTGGATCGATTCTCCTTTCTATATGGTCTTTTTATTTAAAACTGAGTCTCACGAACGAATCAAACCTTTTTTAATTTAAATAGGAACGACTATTAATTAATGAATAACTGAATTTGACAAACATCAGGCACTTACGGAAATCCTCTCGTGCAAAAATAGTTAACAATTAGGGGGAAAGAGACACGCCTCACAAACACTCTTTTCCTTTGGATGACAAATGAATGACATATCACTTAGACATATGACAATTTATTAAAAAATAATCCCATAATCACCTCAGGTTTGAATCTGTTTATGTTCTCTGCTTATCGAGAACTGCCATTATCGACTTTAATTTGGCTCGCAGCCTTTAAAACGATTTTTCTAATAATATACCTGGAAATGTCTCAGTTGAGGGAACCCTACAAGGAATATTATGGTGATATGGCCTGTTAAACTCAAGAATAGCAATGAATGAGTATATTTAAGCGCAGTCAATGGTGGGGTAAACAAAAAAGAGAGATGTTAAAGACTTCATTGAGTACATGTTGATTTGAATTCTAGAACAAACCTTAGGCAAAAAGCTACGCATCTCCCAATTTTTAGTCAGTACAAGGAGTGAAAATCTTTCTAAATGCTAATGGACATTTAACTTTAATGCGTTTTACAGGTGGCTGGGAAACAACAACTTAAAAAACTTATCTGAAGATCTCTTCACAGGGCAAGATCAATTAAAATATTTGTGAGTAGCAATTATTTAGCACTTTTTCAAACACACATTTGGGAAGTTACTTTCTCTCATTTGTTTCTGACGGAATAACAAATGTTAGTAACAAATGTTAGTGGCGTGAAAATGATATCATTTGAAAACTTTTAGTTTAGTGTCTAAAGTTTAATCATTTAAATACATGACGTTTATGGACTTATGTACAATGGAAGGCGTATGAGCGAGTACGAACCTGCTAGTTACATGTTTGTGCCTGTGCATTTCTGGGTGCTTTTGCGAAGGTGCTAATTGCATCGGTTGTGCGACACATTCTTTAACATATCTAAGCATGACCCGCACTACAGAAATTAAAAACAGTTCAGTATGGAAATCTCGAACAAGTTACACACTGTATCTTACGGGCTCAGGTATCAAGCGTTGTGACCAAGAGTTGATCAAGGGGAAGAACAAAGGTGTTTAACACAATGGTTCTACCAATTAATTATCAGTGCTTACTTAGAGAGAGTAGTGTCCTGTGGCACGTTACTTCGTGCGCATGTACAACTGAGATTACCTCAGATGGACCTAGAGGTTTTTGGAAACGCCATGTTGTTTGACGAAAACCACTTGTTGTATATTTGATGACCAAATCAAAAAATTAGGAAGTTAGAACCGGAGAGTAGCTTTTGAGATTATTTCAAAATTTCCGGTGACATGGTGGAAAATAAACTAAGCGTGTAAACACCATAGCGAAGCTGATGGTGACCCGTGAAACATAAACAATAGGTGGAGGGGTCTTTTCGGGGGAATAGTTTCCACATTTATTCTTTAACTTGAACAACAATTTTACGCGTTAATTCAGACTGAAACCAGCAAATCGCGCCAAAAAATGTTGATGATGGTGGAGATTTAAACCACGGTTAGATAATCAGAGAAATCTCCACGCTCGGTTGATCTACACATCGTGATAAGCTCCCCGAACTAAACTTTAATTAGCGCATGATTACCTTGGTGCATCGTCGTGCTAAAAGTACAGAATACAATGAAGAAACTCAGCTTAGTGAAGGAAACATGAAAAGACGAGAAAGTAAAATTCACGATGGACAGACCTACGCCTAAGCCCAGCGTTTTGCTGTCGATTAAAAACACGCCGTGCAGATTCGTAGGGGAGTTTACATGTCGATGTGTAAATTCGGTGATCCCGTCCACGAGAACAGTATTGAGTTATGAATCGTTCTTAATCGGAAAGGCGGTAGAAGGGTGTAGGAAATAGCTGTTAAATTAAAACCGGTTACATTACATTTGACATCTTTCTCTGATGAGAGAGTTTGCAAGGTTAGATAATGAGCAGATAATCTGTAATGACGGCCGGTTATTCTGAGCGAGAGCGAGAGTTAAAAAAAGAGTTATTTTTCAGAGTATTATTAATGGCTTGGTGTATTCAAAATAAATGGTTACAGACAAAACATGAACTATGAGGAATGACAAACTGATCCTCGTGGATTTAAGCAATTGCGGAGAGTAATACCCAGTCCAATATAGAATTCTATTTTTCAGTCTCCACTTTCTGCATTCTCCTCATTTGCATTTTCTTTTTTCTGTGAGAATCAATTCGTATCCCATCGCCGATTTGTTACGATGAAAACTCTCGTTTAACATAATTAAAGTTTCGTCCGGTCAGATCATTTTTATCGTGTCTCAATGTAGGCGGTTGAGAGGGAACCGGCTGGAAAAGTTGCCTGGAAACCTTCTACAAGAAATGTCCGCCTTGGAAGAAGTGTAAGTACAAATGTTGCGATTTTTTCCCCGAGATTTTTTGTCAATATTGATATTCTTTTCCTCTGCATGTCATTCGTATGTGATCTATCGTTCTCACTGAGTCGTTCAAGATATGGTTTTGAAAACCTCTCGCTCTTGATTTATTGATCGTAGCCAGTAGTCAAAAGTTCGGTCACGGAGTTTGATCAGTTGTTGAGTGGGTGATTCAGAAACAGGACGTTCCAAAATTATAGAATTGCAGAATGAAGCACTACTTTCGTTGCAAACAAAAACTTACTGCTCTCGGAAATGAAAAGTTGCACTTTCTTTCCTTTGCAGTAAGATAGATAGCTTTAGATAGATAGATAGATAGATAGATAGATAGATAGTTTTATTAGGAAGTAAAATCATTGCAGCTTCCGGGCCGGCTGAAATACGACTTACTTTAGAATGGGAATAAATTATCTCTTACTCTAAGATAACTACAATAAGAGCCGCAAAGTGTAATCTACAATAAAATACAATAAGAGAGGTATCAAAACCAAAATACAAATAAATAAGATAGCTACTAATAATTAAAACTGTTCGCCATGATAAAGGTGTTTTTGAACCTAGTTGTCTTACAAATCGGTAGCTTGAAGTATCTCTGGCTGCGGGTGTGATAGGTGGACTCGTTGCGTGGAGGCAGCAGATCATGGAGCTTGTGGTTTTCGTCCCTTACAATCTGATCAAATAGAGCATCACACAAGATCTCCCTCCTCTCGTACAGTGACGCAATGTCAAGAGCTACTAGAGCCTCAGCGTAGGATAAGTCAGGTTGAATCGTCCGCAAAGCCCGTTTTTGCAACCTTTCCATTTCATTGGACAGATATTGCGGCAAAGAATGATGAAAAACTGGGCACGCATATTCTAATACAGTGCGTATACATGTTGTATAGAAAAGTAGCATATCCTCAGATGGAACTTTAGCACGCTTTAGCTGTTTTAGGAAGTACAGACACTTCGCAGCCTTTTTGCATATAGATTCTACATGTGCATTCCACCTGAGGTTGTCCGAGACTATCACTTCGAACAACCTTGCGGATGAAACAACTTCGATTTGCTTGTCATTGATAGTAATATGATCAAACAGACTACATGATCTGGAGAATGATATTCTCAGTTCTTTACATTTAGACTCATTGAATTGGAAGCCATCAACTTCTGACTGTCTTACAAGTTCATTTACACGTAATTGCATGTAGCTAGACTCATTCTTCAATACTGATTCGACAGGAGTGGTGTCATCAACGTATTTCCAAATAATTGTGTCTGCAATAGAAAGATTATTTATCATGATAAGGAACAGCCAAGGGCCCAATTTCGTCCCCTGTGGCACCCCTGCAGGAACAGCTTCCCACTCCGAGAAGCAATCGCGGCTCAGTTTTATCCTTTGCTTACGGTTCGTTAAAAATTCCATGATCCAGCACAAAATCGGCCTTCGAATATCGTAGGAGGAGAGCTTCCACGTCAGAACATGATGGTCACAAATTAGGTGACAAATTACTCCTTAATTTTGGCACAAAATTTCAGCGTTAATTTTTAATTTCACATGTGAAATTACAAAATTGTCATGGTAACATCTCTTGTATCTCGATCAGAGCCAAGATGGCGTCGAGATTTAAAAAGGTGACCCTTGAAGAAGTTACGAAATTAAAAGAAACGGCCGAAAATTATTAACAGGCACGAAGAATTCGAAAGGTATTTTTTGTGAAGAAACTCAGAAAATTACGAACTTAACAATAATGAATGCTTTAAACGAAAACTGTATCCTTCTTCATGTTCTCGGTTTTCGATAGAATAAATCAGTAAAAACAATTAATTACGGTTGTGAACGTAATTTGTCACCCACGATATTAAAAGGTAATCAAATGGTTTCCTCATAAAATTATGAAATAATTTCACTTGCGTTTTCTCAAAATTCTGATAATTTCCCTCGCCTAAAGGCTTATCAGAATTTTGACAAAACGCGCTTGAGATTATTTCCTAAGTTCACTCGTCGCCATTTGATTACACTTACTAATTGTGCATATTAAAAGAGACTTGAAAAAGTCAAATCGTATATTTCATGAGAACGGTAGGGTTTTTTCTGGTTCACGTGACATTGGGTGTGTCCAGATGACTTCACCAGTGGGCTTGCACTCACTTCCTTAGACAGTTGTCCAAATCTAGTCCAATGGCCAAAAAAAAAAAAGAAAACTTAGAGTTATAGCCAACTGAATTTACCTTCTACCCTATTCAACAAGCAAACAATTAATGGAAGGAAAGATGAAAGCTTAATGCTTCCATCTTTCCTCGCCAATAGAGGACTCAGAAAAATACTATGGAACTCACAAATCATCCGCCTGTCTTATGATTTTGATGAACCATCAAATAAGGTGTATTTATATAGTAAACGCAATGAAAACCAAGAAAAACTGGACCGTTAAATTTAATTTTTTTTCAGAGAGGGGGCCTCAATTAAAAAATTATGAGCCGGTAATAAGATTTAGAAACTGATGTGAAGACTTTTTCACAGGTTCAACCCATAGGCCCTTATCGATTGTGCTAGCTTAAGTTTTGGCATGATTTAGAAAAACCAGTATAATCTTTGCACTTTTTCTAAAAGTAGCACTTCTAATATAATCGGCATATCTTTTTTTTTTTTTTTTTAAGGAAACGTTACCAGAGTCGTAACTTGCTTGGTCAGAGTCTAAGATTGACTATTTTCAAGTTCATAGTTCAGTATATTTTCATTCGTCTGGGGGAGGGGAGGTAGGTTACCGCAATACTGCGTCGTTATTCGTCTAGAGGACTGGGCAAACCGGAAATAAATATTGCGTCGGTCCCAGTTCCCGCTTCCACAGGCAACAAAATGGCGTCGAGTAACTTAGAAGGAGAACGGCTGCCTGAGAGGAAATGGTTTTTGGATTAGTTTTGTGTTTTTATTTCATTTTATTTTTTAGCATACATTAAGGAAAAGTAGTATAATTTTCAAAAAGGAGCATAATTTGGAAAAATATCGGGCACTGCTAGTAGCATAATAAGCTACTTTTACTAGCACAATCGATAAGGGGCTATCAACCCAAAATCTCCCAATGTGTTTCTTTCTAATGTATGAACGTAATATTTGTTACTTATGTAACGATTACTGTAGCTGAATAATGAACTGCAACTACCTAAGTTCTATCAGATCAGAATTTCGGCAGAAAAACAGTCATTCAAGATACAAAATGTCAGAGTCGCACATGGTGATAATAGGCCTCCCTCTTGGAAATGGACTTTGTCAACTGAATCTTTGTCTGTTTGTTTATTTTTTCCTAACTGGCAATCATCTCATTCTCCAAACACGTTCTTTAGGGACTTGTCCTACAATCAGTTGCAGAGTTTGCCTCGAGGGATACTAAGCAGTAATACCAACCTAAAAGTACTGTAAGTAGGACTTTCCGTTGTTCGAAAAAGGTTTACCGGTCAGATATTAACATTAATAGTTGGTGGTCCAAAATTAGTCGAAAATATCACTTATATCTAGCTTTTTCGAATTAAGCCTCGTTTGGAAATTAACGATTGAGAGTAAAGTAGTGGTCAAGTGATAGATGTCATAATACAATGAAGTGTCTCCCTGCCATTTTTGTCTTAACAGAAGGTCTCTCAGCATTATACATGGAATAAATATGTCCTTTGAGTCCAGATGCTGCATATTGGAGATTCCTGGTCATATTTAATATTTTCAGAGACACAAAAAAAAAAGCTTTTAATTTACTGACTTGGTAAAAAAATAACTAGTATTGTACTATCAGGCAGCTAGCCGATTTTGGCTCCTGTCCAGCACATGAAATACGTTAAGGAGTGGGACTGTCCCATTTTTTTAAGTAGAATTTATGTTCTTAAATGTTAGCTTACTATATGTCTCAATAAACACTCTAAGGGATTTGTCAAACAACAAAATTCAGCGTCTTCCCGAAGATGTTTTTGGCAACCTTACTCGGATGAAAAGGCTGTAAGTGGCATTTTGTACAGCGAGTGAAACCGTGCGTTTTTTATGTTGAGCTTTCAGTAAAACCTTTTCGTTGTGGCCATTCCTAATAGCATGCTAAAATTGTTCGACAATTGCAATTCACATATCAAGGTAAACTGCCCCATACGCTTCACTAGCTTCAGTATATAACAGGGTAGAGAGAGATTGGAACACCTCTCCACCCCGGTATATAATGCTAACTTTAGTGGATTTGGTCATTAACAGCAGTTAAAAGAAAATATAAATTAAATAAAATATTTCGACTGCTTCGCTCAGTGTTTTTTCCAGTTTACTGGACACTAAATGTTTTCTCTGGCCAAGCGATCGGGGAAGGTTTAAAACGTTACGTTTAATTCCCACAAGTTTGATTTGCGATATGAGCAACACTTTGAATTCATAGCTTCGATGCACCAATACGGAGAAGCGAATTCATATCATTATATGCAAACGACCATTTAAACAGCGGGAGTACAAATGCCACCTTTTTTTCACATTCTCAAGTTTAGGAACAAAAGGTTTAGGTATTCAGCTAAGATGTATTACCTTGCAAATAAACAGTTAAGTTTTATCGTCAATTTACGAGGTCCCTTCTATGACATAATAAAAAGCTATCCGAGAGTCTCAAATACCAATGCAGTTGACTTATTTTTCAACTTCTTCTGTTTCTTTTTTTTAAGCTTTCTCTCCAGTAACAAACTTCAGCGTTTGCCAAAGTTAAAAAATCTCTCCGAGATAGAAACTTTGTAAGTGATTTGTGTCTGTGATAAAAACTGGTTTAGTGCGTGTTTTGTTTAATAAGCATTAATCAAAAGGATGCTTTGAAGTAGTCTACCGATTATTCTTGGGACCTAAGAAAGTTTGTTTAAGGATTTAATTTTAATCGAAAAAATATGCAGTAACTTTTAAAATTAAATAGACGCAGAAAATAAGAATTATCAAGGATCATGATTTTAAGGTAGCGCAACATATGGAGGATAGTATATGGCATTCAAATTTCTCTTGGAGTTTTAAAAAATACTTTTCAACACGAGAAGATAAATTTCGTATCTCCAAGTGGCCATGTAATATTCTATTAATTATGTAAACAGAAATAAAGAACGAAACCATTTCGCTTTAGCAGCAGAAGGTGCAATTTATGTAGCCATGGTAGCGGCGATATTTTTACTTGTGAAGATAACACGATATTCACGCTGGGAAGATATCACGTTTTCGCGCGAAAGCTCACAAGAGTCACAAGGTATTTCATTGGTGATATATAATAGTGGTACAGAGCGTCTCGTACATTTAATTTAACGCGTAGATACCTGGAGAACAACAGCCTCGTAAGCCTGTCACTGGATCAGTTCCAAGGCTTGTCCAAATTGAAAGACCTGTAAGTAAACCCAGTAATTTTAACTGAACGAGGTGGCGAACGGAAATTATACCTAACCGCACTTGTAATAATTCGTAATCTTACATATATCTGATCTGTAATTAAGGTTCATCAGCTGCTGTCTTATTATTTGGTTCTTTTAAAATTTCTGTTAGAGGACATGCGATTGCGAACGAAAAAACAAAACAATCATAAAAAAACTACCCTGTTACTTGAGGGACAAATAATTCTCTAACTTATGAGTAAATTGTATCGGTGGCGTAATACAAAGGGTGAACAGACCTATTCCCTCACCCCCTTTTGTTCAAGGTCTCGTTGAATTACTCAAACTAGTGTGCTTTGACAGGCTTAGACTCAGACACATTGGAGGTTACCTGAGTCACGTTAACGTTGCTCGAGTTTGAAGTTACTATAACATCCAGGATAACAACTGCCAACTCGGATCTTACTGACAAGATTTCACATGACAGAAAAAGAAGGCAATTACTAAAAGGATGTAGCAATTCTTTCCCGTACATAAAGCAGCGCGTACTCATACTCGGATTAAGTAAGGCAACCGCTAACTGCCTTCACCTAATTTTTTAAGTAGTCCCTTGCAGTGAAGTTTTTGTCTATTTTCAATCTACTTTTCAGTGTCACATAGTTCATAAGGATATTTTGTAATAAGACATGGAAAAGTCGATGAAGCCATTAAAAGTTTTTCTACAACGGAAGTTCTCTTCTAGAGTTTTCTGTACTTTAACTGATCATGATCTTTCTTCTCTGTCGTTCAAGGGCTGTTTATGAAAACAATATTGAGTACCTGCAGCCTGGAGTTTTTAAAGGATTGACAAACATGCAATCCATGTAAGTCTCTGTTTCTCATTATCATTTTTAATCTACGTTAGTGAAGCACTGAAAAACTGGGGTCATTGTGAGAGCGCAATCGTCGGCATGGTCTTCATCTCCGTCATTTGAGTAGGTTGTGTCAAAAAGTATACACGAGTGACCAAGATCGCCAGCGAATGGACACGAGTGATCACTAACAACCAAGAGTGACTACGCGTCATCAAAGTAAAGTGGTCATAAATTTGAGTGACATCATAGTTTCCTTGTCATCAGGTGACTTCATCTAAAGACCTATGATTTCACCGTAGATAACCATTTCCGGAGACTGACATATGCAAACAATGTATCACCTCCTTGATTCAAAGGGCAGGTCTCAGAGCTACTCAACTGTCAAAAATGTTATGTAATGAGCCCGTTTCCACCTAGAATGCTAAGATAGAAGAAAGAAAGTTACAGAAATTAATGGAAAAACAACGAGCTATAAATAGCAAAGCAAAAACCCTTGATATTGGACAAAAAAAGATAAAACAAAACGACAAAAAAGGAAAAACTCAAAGACAAAAGGTTGACGGAGAAGGGTGACGAGTGATTGAAACCGGTTAAAAGATTCATGTGGCGGGAAGCAGGAAGATGACACCACCCTTCCCTTCCTTTGATTACTGCATACTAGCTATTTGCTCTTGATCACGCGGAGTCACTCACGGAGAGTAGTGGTCATTCGTGGTCGCTCACTCGGGGTTACTCGTGCTCACTCTTAACCACCTGGGCCCGGTTGTTCAAAAGAGAGTTAAGGCTAAGCCCAGGGTTAAATCGGCCTAACCCTGGCTTAAATTTTAAGCGGAGGTTAGTTGCGTTGTTCAACGGAAGGTTAATACTAACCTCGGGTTAAACGATGGGTTAAATTTAATCCACCGTGCGAGCAGGGTTAGATTGTTAAACTCCTGTTAAATCAGGAATAAAGATGGTGGACTTGTTGTTTTGCGATTTACGCAGAAGGCGACCACGAGAAAGGAGATTTAGAGCCGGTACTCAGCGTGAAATCGACGGTGCTTAACTCCGGAGCTTAACTCCGGTTTCTGTAGCATGAAGCGACTAGGAGTATTTCTACTCCCGCCTGGATGGGATGCCAGTCGATCGCTGGATGGTAACATTGTACGAATAGTTTATTATGGGATGCTAACCGCGGGTTAAACGCGCTTAACCCGAGGTTAGCTAACTTTTCCTCTAGCCGGGCTTCGAACAATGCGAGTTAACAGCGAGTTAACAAACTGACGGTTAGGAAATTTAACCTCCGGTTACGCCTAACCAGAGGTTAGTTTAACCTGTCTTTTGAACAACCGGGCCCTGGTTACTTGTGGTCAATCATGGTCACGTGGGCTTACTCATGGTTACTCGTGGTCACTCTTACCCACTTGGGGTCATTCGTGGCCACTCTTACCCACTTGTGGTCACTCTAGTCACTCGTGGTCACTTTTGGTCACTTGTGGTTACTCATGGTAACTCGTGGTCAATCACGACCAGCCGGGGTTACTAGTGGTCATTCGTGGTCACTCGTGGTCATTCGGTGTTACTCGTACTCACTCGCAGTCACTCATTCTGATTTCTTCTTTTAATCTAAATTTATGTTTTCATGTTTGTCATTTACGAGTTACTCTTTCATTCTATTTTCATTTGTAGGAGCTTTTATTTCAACAAAATCCGCACAGTGAGCAACGAGCAATTCAAAGATATCGCGCCAAGTATTCGATTCCTGTGAGTTTGAAAAAACTGTTTCTATTCAAGGCGTACGTGTGATTAAACTTCACCGAGAGTTAATTCCACATTCAAGTGAGACAGTGTGCTTAATTCTCGGATTAGCGTTCCCCCCCCCCTATCTTCACGGACACGTAATCCAATTGGCCGAATCATGCAAGTTGAGAGTTGCGTTATTCGAATTACCCATTGATGCTTCTACGAGTGTAAAAATAAAGATAGGTTGTTTATATCGTTAATCACGCGCGAATTTTATACTCCTAAAACAATCACATCTGACCACTGGAAAACTTTTGGGAAAAACTAAATGAGGGCTTCCTCTTAATTTAACGTCCCGTCTCAAGTAGATTACTGTAATATCGTATGTATATATATTTCTAGATATTAAGTGTGTTTTACGTACTCAGTAACGGGTTATTCTTATTAAGTTATGTTGGAAAGGAAGTCTTGGTTACTTGCTCTCTCGTCTTCTAAAATGCCCATTTTTTCCATTACTTAGGCTCCTAACTGGTTGGGTATCAACGAAACTGAGGCAAATTTGTTCTTTGACGATGGTATACCCATCCGTTCATTCCTTCTCCCTTCAATCCCAGGGAGTCTCATGAAGTGTTAAGAGTTGAAGTTTTGAGGGAAGTGAGGATTGGGTGGAGCAAAGGAAAGAAGAGAACCCAAAAGCTTGAAAATACTTAGGGTTAAAACAGCAGTATCTTTATGAAATATTGGTATTAAATTGAATCGCTTTTCCTTTAAATTGCAGTTACTTCCATTACAACCAAATGCGAGAACTACCCGACGGTTTCTTCTCGAACATGAAAAATTTGATAACAACGTAAGTCAGAAGAATATTCCCGATGTCTGGAGATGTTTAACTGAAGAATTTCATTTATCTGTATACAATAAGGCAGCATGTAGAGTATTACTATCACCCTTTCTTTGTCTTAAATTCAAATATTGTGACGAATCAAAAATTCCCATTTTTTTTCACTTTTGTGATCCATTTCAACTCTTTTTATAAACCGTAGGACTGTAGACACCAACCTGATGTGTTGCCATTTGAGGAAGGAGGACGCGGATTGCGACTTTGCTTATGTCGACAGCTTTGCAAGTTGTGAAAGGATGCTCAAAGATCGAGCTCCAAGGATTTGTCTCTGGGTTGTAGGAATTATGACATTAGTTGGTGCTGTGTTTGTGATCGTGTGGCGGTTGGTGTTTAAGGAAACAAAGGAGAAAAACAAGATACAGGCTATCATGTTGATAAATTTGGCCGGGTCTGATGGACTGATGGGTGTGTACCTGATCATTATAGGTGTGATGGATGCCA